GGGACCACACGGATGGTAGAATAATAATAGTAGAACAATTTGCGCAGAATTAAAAAAAATACAATGGTTAATAGAATGGGCAATCTGAAATGTGTGTGTGAATCAAAGAGATTAATGTGTTAATAACAACGAAATATATCCAAAAGCCCAATTGACTTGTATTAGTTTGGGAGGTTCTAATTTATTTTAGCAATTTTCTAATCTATGTTTCTATAGGAAAAAAAAAATTTTTAGTTTTACTGCATCAAAACGATATTAAATATTTTTATTTCGTTTTCATGTGACTTGCTTGGTTTTTAGTAGATATGCATGACATATGCAAATAGTATGTATAGATTTTTTTAGTTGATATTTATTGCTATTTTTATAATAGTACTATTGTGGAAAGAGTCTTATAGTTTTTATAGTAATAATAATATTTTTAATTTATAGCACTTTTAAATAGTTCAATTTTTATGATTCTACGGCTCATTCAGAATACAGTTTCACTTGAGAAGAACGGCCAAGAAATTTACCTGTGCTGTTAAGAGAGTATAATGCGATATTAGTATATTTTTTTCTGAAAATAATTTTACATTGTTTTACAATTGTCGATGCATATGTAACATAGTCACAAGAGAACAATGTAACCAAGTATAATAATAATGTGGCATTTGCTATAATTGTTATATTTCTTTGTATTGTTTTGTAACCATTCTGTAAATGGAAGGAAAATTGTTAAGGTAAAATATTCATAATTTCACGGTTAACTAGTATGATAAGACTAAAGAAAATCTAGATGTTTACGATTTTTTGCCAGTATAATACCAAGGAAAATATATACAAAGAAGACAGTTATTCCAACTGGTCAGAATAAAAAGAAAATCGGACTAATATTAGTTGGATTTACACTTCGAATGTTTCGTGTAGATAATATTTCAGGTCTTTTGCAAATTCAGGCATGCAATTCAAACGTATACAGTTAGTGTATCTTCAAGCGACTTACAAAAAGAAGTTTCAAATTGAAATGTATTTTTTGTACGTACGTTATACAATGGTTTCACCAAAAATACAGTTAGTAGAAATATGTAACTAATTTTGAACCGTTACGCACTGTGCACTTACTGAATAATTTCGTATGAAAGGTACATATTTTCATACTTCAACGGTATTCCTTTGGTGAGTGTTAGTCAGTTTTACGATTGTTATCACTAAGTGTGGGTTATTGTACTATTTACTTTACATTATATGTATCAGTTTTCATCCCATTTAGATTAGATCCGCAAAATTTGCTCTAATAATCTTATTAGAGCATTTTTTGCGGAAATTCTCGAGACATCGAGAAAACTTTATGAAAGAAAAATCTTTACCCGCCTAAAATCAATTACATGCTTAAAGAGATTTGTATAGTACAAAGAAATTTCTATCAATGAACAATTCGGCTTGTCTGCCAAATAAAGTCTTTCTATCATAGAATTACTACATTGCTTTTCTCAACCTATCTTCATATTTCAATACATTTTTGAAGAATTACTAGTCGTTTATTATTATTTTAAAATAAATGAACACAACATTCAGATTTTCTAATTTGATTTAAATTATTTAAATCGATAATGTGAATGGCATATCAATTAGTAGATAATTAAGATTAATTTCACAACAAGCAGTTTTTGTTCTACAAATAAAATTCGGCGCTTTACGGATATATACATACATACATATCTATGACGCCTGTTTCCCATGAGGGTAGGCAGAAACAATGGAATGCCAAATACTCCGATATAAAATATAAATAGTTCTCTTTTGCTTTCTTTACATTAATTTATCTATAACCAATTTAATTAGAAGTTTCACATAAATTATCTTAACTACAATTGTAAAATACGTGAAAAATAATACCTACTTAATTTAAATTATGTGTATGATGAAACAGAATACCTAACAGCATATAGATAATAACGATGACACTTGTTGATAATAATTATAATACATTAGCATAAATGCATCACAATATTTATGCTTTTTAAGTGGTATATATGAATTAAGTTACTTTCTGCCATTACACAACTCCTCTACTCACCACATTCAAATGACTTCACGCCAAATATACTTACGTCTTATTTCTTTTAAATGCTAATAGTACATGTAATCCTAGATACCTATGTATCCACGTGTATAATATATGAACCAAGCTATCTTAATTCATATATTATACATAAGTAAGGGCAGTAAATTTATTATTTCATATTAGTATTATTGTTATTTCCTTTGCAATTAAACCTTTAATTTTCTAGTTTTTGTTTTTTGAAAATTCTGTAAACATACATTAGAAAAATAAATATATAATAAACGTACAAGAGCCTGACTTTCTTAACACAGGACTTTCCTAGCATGGAGGTCAGAAACATTTTTTGAAAATAAATAAGTATTCTAAATATGTATTTTGTGTAACACATATGTATTTTTCGTTAAATAAATTAATATCTCTATTATTATTCATCAATCTTTTCATACACGCTCGCCGGTTACGGGTACTTTTAATTTATCCATTCTTCAGCACGTCGTCTATTTGGTCAACATATTACCATTTAGGGCAGCCTCTACCGACATCTCCATTTATTTGTGCTCGATTAATATTTTTCGTAGTCCTTCTAACATCTATGTATCTTCTGCAAATGGTACGACTAACGCATATTTCTCATTTCAATTTTTGTCACTACACTGTCCACTCTTCTCTCTAATCACACTTCAGTCTATCGGCGCTTCAGTTATTATAAAAATAATTTAGTACCAACAGGGTAAACCATATTAAATGGAATAAGAAAGTAAATAAATAAGAAATAAGAAAGAATATGCAGAATTAATGACGTAATGTGGTAGCTTATACGCAAGAAAATATTGCATCTTTTCTTTGCATAATATACTGCTTCACGATAATATAAAACTCTTTAATGAGTACTAAAAATATATATTACAATGTAAATCTGTAAATCACGAGTTGCCTTTTTAAATGTAATTAAAAAAAATATTGTAAAGAAATTATTATAAATATTATATTATTGGATAGTTGTTTCAAAGACATTTGTTAGAAGAGTGAAATATTGAATACAAAATTATAAGAGATATAAAAAAGGTGTGCAATTTGTGGCTGCCAGTATAATAGCAACATGACGCTCCGCGGTGCATGCCTATGAACTGCTGTCGGTCTGGTAGGCGAGGAATTACGGCGATTAGGAATCTATTGGGCATCTGCTGCTCTTAATACATAGTCATCAGGGCTGCGTCGTCAAGGCTCTTTACGGAAACTTGGACTTGGCGGTGTCAATAGCGCTGCGTGGGTCCAATTTGACAGGAGGTGTTAAGACCCCACTAAAGACCACCCGCTTTGAGAGCACGACCATTAGGGCTTCATCGTTAATGCACTTTACGGATGACAACGCAGCGGGCCATAAGGGAAGCAGATCATTTAGTAGGGCATTGTGACTCCGACGCAGCAGTTATTAAGACTTGCTTGCTTAATAATGTCCCTTTTTTGCACTTATTTAAAAGCTACTTATATATTATTAATCAGAGTATTATTTTTACACCATACATGTTATGATTTATATATAAATCTCTTTCTCCTTTCGGGTTCTGAAGGTTGACTGGAAGAAATCCCTTTAAGGAAAAATTTTTTGCCTATATACATTTTTATTATAACCTACTTATTTAATATATCTATTTTAAAATTGAATATACAAAAGCATATAAATGAATAAATAGATAGATTTAAAATTTCTAAAATGGGCGTAATGTTACGTTACAAATTTTTCTGATACCACATGTTTCTAAGACATTTTTTAGAAAAGTGAAATACAGAATATAAAATAAAAAGAACTATAAAACGGTATGCAATTTGTAACTATCCGTCACGTCAGTAACAGTTTCTACGATTTCATAATTTTTCTTAAGTACCTACATAATCTTATTATAATTTTCTCTTTAAACTGATGTATTAGTCGACGAATGTAGCCGGAGGTAATTTATTATTTAACATTGTGTGTTAAGTTAATCAGCTTCATATAGCATTCGATATAAAAAGAGGAAGACTAGTGGGAAGGCCTACTCGCGCTAAAGGAATGTATCGGAATCGTAAAAAACGAGGCATTTTTTAAGATATTCAAATAAAACTTGATCCCAGAACACTCAAAATTTTATGTGGTAGACGTAGGAAAAATTCAAAGCTTTGTACAAAGAATTGAGTTTGGACTTTTTTTATGTGATGAAAATGATCACTACTACACACACACACCCTATTAGTACTATTGGTACAAAAATGAATGTAGGTGAGGATGAAGTCATGAAAGTCATGAAGAAAGATCAGTTGGTCTTACATGTGTTCATTACGAAATAATCACGTTGGTTTACGCTTATCTTCTTATTAGTGATATACTTGCAGGTTATGTTGCTAGAAATTAGATTATTTAACCTCATTACTAACAATCCAGTTTGCTCTGAAACCGAACTTATCTAGGGCTGATTTTTATTCAGTAAAATATTCCGGATGCAGTAGTTTGAGCCTTACAGGATATAAGATGTAACATGTGGCTTTGCTCATACGTATTAGGAAAATATATAACTTTATCCTTATGGTACTGTGTGGTCGTATATTTATTGATTTAAGCGTGATAAATAATAAATTTCTTTTATAATACATTTTTAAACGAACATCATAATGTCATATATAATAGATATTAGTAATATGCTTATATATATATATATATATATATATATATATATATATATATATATATATATATATATATATATATATATATAAGGATCTGCTCAGTTAAATAAAAGAAACCAATTCTTTTTTTTATATAGTAACAATCACCAATTTATAGTATTCCAATGTTTATTTGAATGGCCTTGTAGACAACGCGGTAGTGAGATTTCAATGAAAATTACGTGCGACACAATTTTCCTTATTAACCACTGAATCGACTAGTCATTTAAGAGTAGGTACGGGGTGAAGCATTTGTTATCACTTTGAAAACGAATACTGTGTCAGACGGATGGTGTTTAAATTTGTTCAGCGACGTGAAATAAAAAAAAAAAACTATTCAACCTTTATTTTTTTATGTGAACGTATTTTCATTAATTCTGAACCGATGTTAATGATTATTTTTGCAATTTCGTGATTTTTGTGACAATCAGAAATTGTTTTTTTTTGTGGAGTTATTACAATATTAAATTGTATTTTATTTAAAGGTTAAACCGCCAATATGTTGACAGGATGGAGACTCGCACTGTCCAAATGTAAGTACTATGTAAATTCGCTTTTAAGCTTTTCTATGCTTATTTTATTATTACATATAGAAAATTTTTAATGGTATTTTCTCAGAATGGTAAATAAGCTACAATAAGAGATGAACGATTTTATATTAAAATCTATTTGTAATAATTTGTTGTGTAATAGCAAACAACATATTTAGTAGACTCTTTCACAAAAGGTGATTTTAAATTTATATTTATCTGTATATATTATTACAATCTGTATATATTATAAGATAAATTCTAATAATTGCATGAAAAATATTATTATTTTATCTAAAAATTAATATACTTATAAATATAATAATAAATGATAATATTTTGCCCTTTTTATTTCTCAATTTAATTTTTTAATCATATATAAGTTATTTTGTTGTTAAATTCTATTTCTTTTTACGTTTATATTTTATTTTATTAATTTTTTTTATTTTAGTATTCTTAATACCCCAGCGGTATGTGATGGCTATAATGGCATTGTTTGCTGTAGCCAATGCTTACACGATGAGAGTTTGCCTCAATCTGGCCATCACACAGATGGTGAAGAAGACAGCCGCTGTAGAAGGCGAGGAACATTACGATCCATATGCGTGTCCAGATAAAACTATTACGAGAAATTTTACTAAAAGCTACTCTTACTACAGGGCAGATGATGTAAGTAGTGCATTTTTTAAATAATATACAATTATATATAATTTGTAAGGACAAACAAGCTGACACCTGTTTTTATAATGGATGATGTGAAATAGTAATCCCACTTATGTCCGTGGTTTACGTTGGTAGTGTATTAGTAAAAGACAAGAGACGAGAGAGAGTGAAGACGAAATTAGGTCACGTGGTCCATCACTCATCACATTACTCTAAGGTGGCTTTAAAAAGATTGTTTCAGCAATAAGGCCGCCTTATTGCTCTTACAAAATTTATTTATTGTGGTCGTGTGTATTTTAATTTTGTTGACTTAATCTTACCTAGAACTAATTAGATAGGTAACCACTATAGATCATTAACATCTAGATAGAATGTTGAGGGTTAAAAAATGTTCCATAAAACAGCCCACCAATTGATGGCTGACGCGTTATTTTTTGTTAATATAGCTATTAAAGTCTAGAAGTAAAATGTTGATAACATGATAATTATAAGTAAATTTTTGTAATGAAAGTCATCATCATTATATTATTACAATTAACCTTTTCGAAAAGTCCGCCAATTTTTTAATATTATGGCATTTTTATCTAAGTACTTTTATCTATTTGTCATTATTTCTATTAATACAGTTTTATTTATTTTTAATATTTGTTATTGTCATTTGTTTGAAAAGAAGTATTACAATGCCTTAGGTATGGTATGGTATAATTTGTAATAATCATGTTATTCATATATACAAGTATACGCGAGTACTTTCTATGAGTCAGATTTAGTTGTTTACAAAACGAGATCAAAAATTATTGAATTTAAAAATATCTTTGTAAAGTCATTCATTTTTTTACAAATATATCAAACTCCATTATTATGACGATATGTTATTTTGTGTATTCTCGTACGTATGTGTGTACTTATGTACTATTTATTTATTTATTTATGTACGTATGTACGTACGTCATTAAAGCGCCAGGAGTTAACAAACAAATAAACAAACTCATTATCGTATTTATAATATTAGTAAGGATATTTTGTAGTAGATAAAAAGTATGGTATACCTACTCTTGCCTGCCATACCTTTGTCATTAATTAGGTATGTTTATGAAAAGGCGATCTGCAAATATAATAATTATGTTAAGTCCTACTTTAAACATGCTTCTTGAAGTTTCAGATAAGGCTGCAATAAAACATTGTGTATCTTTCTAAGTAATATTTCTTTGTTATTATTTCATACCTAAATCTTCTCATGTCGTTGGTATACCACAATGTTGTAATACATACATATTAAATTAAGTAATTTTCAGTTTTTTTTACTTATAGGTCTACTTTTTATAATTAGTGTAAAAAGTATAAAATAATTATAAAGGCAAATAGCTTTAAACGAAGTTTATATTATTTATTTATGAAAATTCTGGACTCCTTTCTTTATATTTGATTTGATGAAAACATTTGCTTCGCAAATAAAACGACAAGAAGTTTCTTAGACTCGGAGTCAAGTATCTACATGTCTATATCTATATCTTAAAAATAATCATTTCAGCCGTTAACTGTCCATTACTGAACATAAGCCTTCCCCATAAGGGGAGTTTTGTCAATAGTTGCTACGCTTGGCAGGGGGGTTGGCAACCACAGTTAAGTTTTCTGAGATGGTTTAAGGTTGCTGTCCATCTCTTTACTACTAAATTCCTTTAGTTGCCTAGAGGTGGCTTATTCTACACCGAAATCACGCGAACTATAATAAAAATAATTTCTTAGTTGTTTAACATTATCATTACTCATCTAAAAGTAACTTTTCTTTTGCTTCGCAAAGAAAAACTACATTCTTCTAAATAAATAAATAAATAAACGAATTCTCGAAATTGGCGACTTAACCGCGATATTGATGACTTCAGAATCTTCTACTATTGATAATCGTTCAAAAATTCATATAAACTATAATAACTATAAATCCATTATCTTTCAGACTGTATATTTCGAATGGAGTGAGGCAACACAGGGACTGATTCTTGGATCTTTTTACTATGGCTATGTTTTGACTCATTTACCTGGAGGTATGCTGGCAGAACGTTTCGGAGGGAAGTGGGTATTAGGTCTTGGTCTCCTATCGACTGCAGTTTGCACCATAATCACGCCTGTTACAGTCAAAGTAGGAGGTGCTACTGCTTTATTTATATTGAGAGTTATAGAAGGATTAGGAGAGGTAAGTGGTAATTTTAAAATTAATAAAATCATTCTGAGGGACTGGTCTGTACTCAATCAAAATTGAATTTGCAAAAAACTGCTTAGTTTCTTAGGGGTACTTTACATCAGAGGATAATACTAAACCTAGCTGTAACTATAAAAACGTGATATCTTATGAATTTGTAAATAAACCTGTTTTATTAAATATGATTTCTATTCTACTGTAATTAATAACTGGTATATTCGATAAAATGTATTAAGAAGAAAGAAATATAGTCATAAATATTTTATAACTAAAGTGAAGGACTTCTATTTCATGATAATACTTTATTTCTTAATAAATATTTTTAGTTCAATAAAACCAAACACAAAGAGATCTATTTACTTAAATTCTGAAGTGTACAAAGTAAGGATATTAGGAATTTAATATTATATTTTCGAATTTATATGACCAATATTAAGAATTTTTATAGTATATAAATGTAAAAAGTAATGCCTTGTTGTTGTCACATACCCTTAAACAGGCCAAAATAGTTAAGGGGCCCCCAAGGTGGGAAGTTGCTAATCTAATATAGGTACTTTGTAATGTATGTACATACCTATGCTTATCTTTTCTATATGCTGTAGTCAAAATTACTAATAGTTGAAAAGCAGATAGAGAAAGAGTAGTTATTTTTTTACCTATCTGTTGGTTAATTGGACAAAAGTACTTTTGACCCGATAAAGTTGACTTAAATACATATTTCATAGATTTTATTTTGTAACACAAATATAATTTAAATTAACAACATAGAATTTTATCACGTTTTCATGCAAAAATTATTGTGGGTATGTGAAGGTCAGCTACTATTATCTTGTTTGAACATTTTAATTAATTGAAAAACGGCATAAAACTGAAATTCAAGCTAAATTTAAAAATAAATTTATTTTACAGAATAAGCAGACTACGTATATATTTTTTATATTTTATCGAAACACAATATTAAGAATTTGTAATTGCTCCGCAAATAACAACGACTTCAATTGTGAACGAAATATTAAGGAATTAATATAGAACTAAAAAAAAAACAGTACTAATTATAAAAATAATTATTAAAATAGGTTCTTACACGGTTGTACACAAAAGTACAAATGAGTTAAGATTTTTCTCGTTTTTGAAGTTGCTTTCTCATATCAGCCATTAAGTGTCCACGGTTGAAAATAAACCTCCCCTTGGGGAGTTTTGCCTGTAGTTGTCCCGCTTAGCAGGCGGATTGCATTTCTATGCCAGAATCACATGGTTTGAAGTTGCTTAAAAATATATAATAGCTAATCACTTTTTTTTTATTTCGTTGTACCAGTAGATGATACGTAGTTCATTCACACTATTCTTTGTTTAGATATTATCATAGATACGACGTGACGATGATGAATTAACTTTATACTATAACCAGTACGTGACCGAGGTAATAGGTAATGATAGACAGGAACAAAAAGTAACCTACATGTTTTTCCCCATCTAAAATAGTATATACAAGTAGTATACAAAATTTCATGATGATTAATTTAGCCATTAAAGTGCTAAGGGGTAACAGACAATTGAACTCTCGGTGAAAGGTATAAAGCTTTTTTTTTTCAACTAGTGGTATCCAAAATTTTGTGTTTGTTCACAGAAACGGAGTTCATATGTTCGCTCACGTGAACTTCGTATAAACACACTAATGTAAATATAAAAAAATCTTGTTCAATTAAGTTTATATTTATGAAATTACGTTAGAATGAGCCTTTTTAAATGATTTATATATTTTTTTCACATAAGATGTTGTTTATATATATATATATATATATATATATATATATATATATATATATATATATATATATATATTCGGCTTATAATAAAAAATACTACAGTTAAGAATATCGCAATAAAAATATTTCGCATTTTTTTTAATTAGCAACAAATACTAAGAACACAAGGCAAAATATCAATCAAATAACAGAAACAAATGTTTTAATTAACTTTTAATAGAATTTTTCAATCTTATTTTTTTTTTCAATAACGGGAATCCCCTTCGATATAAGTTCTATTTTTGTACTTCCTCTTAAGAAATTTATTTTAATTGTAAATTCTTAATAATATAATAAATTCTGTAAATAATTATTGAAACTTGTTTTTTTTTTAGGGTCCAACTATGCCAGGTCTAATGGCTGTATTGTCACGATGGGCTCCAAAAGCGGAGCGTGCTCGTTTCGGTGCTATTGTATTTGGAGGAGCTCAGATAGGAAATATAGCAGGTTCCTACTTCTCTGGACTGGTCATGCATAATGGAAGTTGGGAAAATGTATTTTACTTATTTGGGGGGATTGGACTGCTATGGTTTGTTCTTTGGGTAAGTACCTCAATTTATTAAGTGTAGTTACTAAAATTTACCTGATGTAACTGCTACTGCAGGATTATTACTAATATATTGGTTTATCATTAACTTCTTTCTCAGGTATACATTTAATTAAATATAAATTAAAAAAGAACTTAAAAGTTCCACATACTATCTAAAATTCATGAAAGAAGAATCATCGAATATTTGAAGAACATTTATTTCAATACCGCAATATATACTCGGAAGTAATGTTTTAAACTCACCTAAGAGATATCATCGATGATCCCGATGACATATAACAAAGATTATTATTTCTGTTAACTGTCCACTGGTGAACATAAGCCTTGTCCATAAGGAGAGTTTTGTCAGTAGTTGCGTCGCTTGGCAAGCAGTTTGGAAACCGCAGTTAGGCTTTTAGAGATGTTTTAAGAGGGATGCTGCTGCCTATCCTTCACTCTCCTTTAGTCAGCTCTTACGACACTCACGGAAAAAGAAGGGGCGATCTATTCTATCCCGGGACCACACGGCTATAATATAATAAAGATTACTCCTCTAATACTTCTCTAGCCCAGATCTATCCACAAGATTTCAGATGCATGACACTGTCTTCACAACCAAGACGGTAATCTGAATAACGCCTTTTAACGTACTCTGTTAGGCCATCGTGACTGATTTCTAGTCTCATTCAAATAGCAATTAAAGTAAAATCGACGAGGTTCGAACCATTGGCGATGTTTATAACCGAAATTCATAATATTCGATGTTGATTCGCCATTTACAAGTGGTCTACGTCATTATATTTCCTACCTTTGAAATCTACGCATACGAAGTAGCGAGCAAAAAGCTAGTATAATTATTAAATATATATTTATTAAAATTATATGTTGAATTATATTTTACGAAGAATCAATTTTTTTCTTACAATAAAAGTTTTAAAATTTTAAAGAAAGATCGCGATAAGATAAATATTACACCATAGAACGTTGTTCTATCTTGTCGCAACGTCACAATAATATTTAACATAACCTAATTATGCATGACGTAGACTCCATTCACCGTATTATTAAGTACTTATTTAGTTGGGATACGGCTTTGACTCTGTGCGTAATATTTTGTAAATTTACGTACTACTTAAATGTATAGTACTCATATTAAACATTTACGAAATATTTACATGTTATCGTTGAAAGTAATTCGTTTTTTTTTTATATTTATTTAGTCCATATAGTATTATATTTATTTATCCTGCAAAACTATTAACTTTATTTTTTATAACAACCTATTTCTAAATAATTATTTGTATTTAAATTATTGTATTTTGTTTTAGACCGTGTTGTGTTATAGTACACCAAATACCCACCCTTTTATATCAGACAGCGAAAAGAAATTCTTAAACGAAAACGTAGATTCACTGAAGCATATTAATGCGCAAAAAATGGACCCTATTCCATGGAAGGCGTTGCTTCGATCTGTGCCATTATGGGCTCTAATTATAGCTGGCGTAAGTATAATGGGGGTATACTCCGAATTGCTATTTTTTACTGAAATATTAATTTAATAATACAGAAATATCATAATAAGAAGGATTAATAAGAACGGAATTTATAATATATTGAGTCAAATGAATATTGTTATGATAATGAGACAATTTATAACTTACCATAAGATGACGGCTTGTGTGCCATTCTAAGTTACATAAAAATATTCAATAACTGTTTATTTATTCTTCTTATTAAAATATATAAAAAGATAGCTTTTCCTATCTTTTTTAATCTTTTTTATTGCTTTAAGCAGAATACAGTACAATAATGAAGTATTCTCAAAGTCGAGTTCAACTATTCAAAGCTCGCTGGCACTTACTGATTAATGTTTCTTATCACCTGATCCCACACAACCAGCAAATACTTTAATTAACAATTTAGCTTAAAGCCTTCACTTGTTTACTAGATCGGTCACGACTGGGGCTACTTCACAATGGTTACAGATTTACCAAAATACATGACAGATGTGTTGAAATTCAACATAAAATCTACAGGAATACTCTCAGCTATTCCTTACGTAGCTATGTGGGTATCTTCGTTTTTCTTTGGACTCATATGTGACTTCTGCGTTAAAAGAGGATATCACAATATTAAAAATGCAAGAAAAATCTATACAAGTATTGGTAAGTAGATATGTATAAAACTGTATGTATAAAGATTTTTTAGACTCGAGGATTTTATCTATATCAAAGTTGCCTGTTTAGATACTTCTATTCGACTCATGTTTCTGCCGCCTAGAAACTAAGTTTCATCATATCGGCCCTTAACTGTCTACTGGTGAACATAAGCTTCCTCTATTGGGGGATTTTGCCAGTAGTTGCAATGCTAGGCAGCAACTGATTTTGTATATTCGTATTTTAATTATAAAGGTTGATTATGATAGTGTATAACGCAAATATTAAATGATGATCTCTGTGGTGCGGTGGTGTGTATGTTACTTTGAGTAAATAAGGTTCTAGGTTCGATTCGATTTCGTTTAGACTAATTCAGAATTTTTTTCTAATTGAATTGGATTTGGATCTTCTAGATATCCTTTGCTCCCAGGTATTCGTTGCCTGTAACAAGGCAACGAATACCTGGGAGCAAAGGATCATAATAGGGTATCCTAGCCTGAGGATCAGGTATTTAGTGTTATTATGTGGTATTTATTATATAAAAGAAAAACGCTCTTTAATTTGGTACATTTAATAATATATTCTATTACTTGCAATTTAGAAAACTTTAAATTCGTGTTTTGTTTCTTTTCTTACTTAAATATGTTTTTTAAACAATTCTGATTACAATAAAATATATTCAAAATAAGCTTAGGATATTTATATATGTTAATTTTCTGTTTAAGCTGCCACCGGCCCTGGTATATGTATTATCTTGGCTTCCTACTCCGGATGTGACACTACTCTTGCCGTATTCTGGTTCGTGGTTGCCATGTCTCTTATGGGCGCTTACTACAGTGGTATGAAGATTAATCCCCTAGACATCAGTCCCAACTATGTAGGTTCCACTACAGCTATGGTCAATGGTATCGCTGCTATTTCAGGCATTGTATCACCGTATCTCATCGGCTTACTGACACCAGATGTAAGTTTAAAAATTGATATATATTTATCATCATCATCATCATATCAGCCTTTAACTGTCCACTGCTAAATATAAGCCTCCCCCTTGGGGGCTTTTGCCAATAGTCGCCACGCTTGGCAGGTGGATTGGCAACCGCAGTTAGGCTTTAGAGATCTTTTAAGAGGGACGTTGCTGCTCATCCTTCGCCCTCCCTTAGTTGCTTCTTACGACACCCACGGGAGAGGTGGCCTATTCAGTGCCGGGACCACACGGTTATATATATATATAAAAAGCTAATAATAAGAGATTTGATTTGAGAGAAGAATTAAAGCCATTTATTTATAAAAGTGGTTAGATGTAAAGGAAGGGGTCGATCCAAGAAATATTAAAAGGACTGTGTAAAATATGATATACATAATAGATAAGGGAGTCCAGGTATGACAGTTAATAGAGATTTGTGAAAATAAAAGATGTACTGCTTCGACTCTAAATAAATGAAAATGAATATAAATAATGGCCTTAGTTTGCAAATCTTGCTTTTTAAATTATTAATATTTTTAAATATAATTCTTCTGATTAATTTATAAAGTCTTGGAACTTAAATTGGCTAGTACAACCTAGTTGAAACGTGGGAGGTAAATATAATACTATATTTATAATTAAACAATTCATGTTAAGATATAACGAACCATATTATATTATAGTATTTATTATATATAATATTTAAATAATATTTAAATTTTAATATTGAAAAAATATTTAAAAAAAATTAGTGTCGTATGATGAATTAAAATAGTGTGTAATTGAGATAGGTGTTGCTTCGTTAAAGTCCATTATAATATCACTTGGTGTCTCTTTTATCTTTGATATTACAGTATTGGGTAATGCTTTATCTTGCCGGTATCTCAAGCAATATATTAGTTACACTTTCGGATGGTTTTAGTTTGCACTCAAAACTATCTTGAATTTGTATCAAAATATCTTAAGACAGAATTAGTAGAATCGAATTTTTAGTAATAAGAAACAAGATATTTTACAAAATTTGCAATTGGATTGACGATGCTTTGTTTCTAATACTGGTCTTATAATTCTTTCTTCTTATAAAATTCAATTTAATACTTCAATCATCATTTAATATTCTAAATACAATTTAACTTTCATCAAAAATATTTACAGTCGGCTTAAAAAGAGGAGGAGAGGTTATCAATGCGTTTGTGTTTTTTATGTTTGTTACTTCATGACTTTATAAGTTATTAACCGACTTAAAAAAATATCTGAAAAGATATACAGATTGGCCCCATAAAAATATAATCAAAATCAGTGCAGCAGTAAACTACTTCAGTTTTAAATCAAAATAATTGATTTTGCCATAATTGTTTATTTTTATGGAACACAATCTTATTTAAATTTAATTCCAGAACTCCAAATTAAAATATATAATATAGCTGCGATGTCTATTTAAATCTGTATCTATGGCAGTTACATTTTGAAAATGCTGTACTAATTTCTAATAATATTTTGTTACTAAATTTAATTATACTTTTGTTCACAGTCCACTCTTGCCCAATGGCGTGTTGCGTTTTGGGTTTGTCTCGGAGTACTAGTGATCACAAATATTGTGTACGTCATCTTTGCTCAAGGGGAACAGCAATGGTGGGACGACGTTAAAAAACATGGATACCCAAAGAATTGGAAGCACGGCCCGTTGGCATTGAGGTCTGTTGATAAAGAACAAGCAAATGAAGAAGTTAAAGAGAAAAATTGATTTATAATGCTACGTTAGACTTTAATTTAGGTACTTATTTGTGAGATTAATTTATGAAATGAGACTGCATTAAATCTAAGTGGTGCCTATGAATGCAACGTCTTATTAATAAAAACTAAAACATCATACAAACTCATTTTAACAATTAATTTATCTGAATCTATAAAATTTATCTGAAAAGAAAGAGATAAAATATTTTTGTAGCTGAAATTAATTGGTTAGACGTTAGGCGTTTTTATGAATAAGAGGGTTGTTGTTCAAATGTTTCAACTTGTACATATCTAAAAGTTAATGATTTAATGACTTGTATGTTTGTGTGAATGTTTTGTATCTATTAATTATGTAATGAGTTAAGAGTTGACTGGCTGGTCCAAAATAGTTGAGTGAAAATACCTCTATTCTTGTATATAATAAACTATAAGTAAGAAGGAATTTTTGTAAATTCAAATATTTCTTTTGTTAAGCTATATGTATATATATATATATTTAAATAGAGTTATTTATATTTTACCAAATGTACCAATTATTTATTAAAAAATATTTTTAAAATCTTCAGTTTTTCTATAAATTCAGACCTTAAATTGGACATAATAATATATCTATACAGGTAACATTAGACATAATATTACAATTATCAGGAATAATTAAGAAATTAAAGAGATAATTAATTTTTTTTTTAAATTTCTGGTCTATATATAATTACTTAGCCACCTGTTTTTTTTTTTTATTATTGTCAACGTTTCAACATAGATCGTATTATATTATTTTTGCCATGCCCATTATAGATCTGAAATGAGTAAAGTAAGTCCCGAAAATAAATTATTGTAAGTAAAATGATACCTATATACATTATGTTTGATGAATAATTACAAAATTATTAAAAAGAATTGTATGCAACTGTTTTTTTGTTATATACCATTTACATCAATTATATATTTTTCAATAAAAAAGCACAACTAAAAAGTCCTTCATTTTTCACTTATGTTCAAAATGTAAAATTTGTATTAATATTTTAATTGCAGATTTATCTCTTTAACGAACGAACCCGCAATCGGATTATATTTGTCAAAACATTTGAATGTTTAGTAGGTATAATACTTAGTCACTTAAAATCATGGCATAATATAGAGTTCTATTTAAAATTTTTTTTCTCCTCCGCTGGCGTATGTAAGGCATGAGAAAGTTTTGCATAATTTATGAACTTATATATGATAATGACTAAAGATACAATCACTTATCTCCGACAAAACCATCGTCTACTGCCACCACCGAAACCCTTGCTCCAGTCCTCGCTCACATCCATGTTATCACGGGCTCTACAATCTGCAGCCGGTAGTACGAGGTGAATTTATCATGGGGAGTGCTCTGAAGAATTGTTCGGATTGATACCTGCTGCAGATTTTCACCATCGTACAACCCGCCATAAACTAAAATTTCATCCCAACCATCTGGACGAGTGGCGGTCCTCCACCGTGCGTTTTTCAAGGCACTTTCTTCCACGCACAACCACTCTTTGGAATCAACTTCCAGCAGCAGTATTTCCGAACCGATACGACAACATAACCTTCAAGAAAAGAGCATATTCCTTTTTAAAAGGCCGGCAGCACACCTGCAATGCCGTAGGTGTTGTGGGTGACCATGGGCGGCGGTAGTCACTTACCATCAGGTGAGCCGCATGCTCGTTTGCCCCCTGTGTTGTAAAAAAAAAAAAAAGACGCTGCGTCGTAAGTTACTAATTACGTATTAAACTCTTTATCGTATCAAAAACATAAAAATATACAATGACAATTAGAAAATACAATTGAAATACCTATGTATTCCTACATCAAGTACAGATAAAAAATATACATAAAGGAAAATAGTGCAATCTTATCTCTAGGGCAATTTTTTACAGACAATCTTTGCTTAAAAGAAGATAGAATTGGGTAGGTGGCGTAAGACTTAATTAATATTTTTATATAGTACTTACTTAAGTGTATAAGTTTAAAAAAATATACAAAATCAAAATATTTTATTTACTGTTTTTTAAAATCTTTTTCTTTACATTTTAAATATTTTTTTTATTCGATCGAATCATTATTCAAAATATTAGGGCCGGTCTTCCGAGAATATATTTTTCACGTGCTGATTGAAAGCGAGAAAGGAAGAGTTATGATCTCGACTTTTACGGAGGATAAAAATGTCTTTGTTTTATTAGCTGTGCAAGAAGACGCTGCTTCTCTGTCGTCTCTCTGGTATACCACTCAGTATTAACACTCCATTGAGCCTCAAGTAGAATTGTGCAGACGAGACCCGTACGGGGAAAAAACAACGCTATCATTTTTTATACACGTTGCTCGACTACCTCTATTTTGTATGTCTGTTCTCAGTTTCAAATACCCATTCACATGTTTGTGGTTTGTTTTTCTGGTTCAAAGCAATAAATACAGATTTTGTCTACTGTGACGATGTTAGCAACTGTTGAACATTCATGTTAATATTAGCGACATCTTTGAATATTATTTAACATGAACCCGTTTTTGTTCCGGGTTAGTTCTTGAGAAATGTACTGACAAAAAAGTTTCTTAATTCTTAATTCTGTATGCAAAATTGTTAGATCCTGATTCATACCGATTTTCAGATGTCCCCGAATCATCTCACAGGTATACATCGGTTTCCTTCAATTAACCACTTCATTATGGTCACGGTTTCCTCATTAATCGCTATTATAGGACGGCCTTCACGAAACTCGTCATTTACAACCTGTACACGTTGAAATTTGTCGTACCGTCACCTTACACTACTTAAATTTGAAAGCTGAGCAGCATAACTTTGTGGAGAAAAATCTTTTTTAAAAAGTCATAGAAAATCATTGTACTGATTGTTTTTGTATCTGAAAAAAATATTATTTCAATTTTTTTTACTTATTTTTATTCATACATAAATGATATTTAAATAATATTTTTATTAATAATTAATTTAAGAAAAAATAAAATTTCCAAAGAAAATTTCTTTTTCAAGAATGTTATTTTTTCATGTCCCCTTTAAAGTAATGGACTTAAATAAAGAATTCTGGCTATTATTTTTTTTTATTTTAAATACTTTGCGGTGTAAAGAAAATAATTTCTGAAAGAAAAAAATCTTTTTGTATATTTAGTTAATATTAGGTTTAAAACAGCTTAGTAACATAACATTTATATAGGCTGAATCTTATTGTTTTTATAAAGCATTGTAATTGTAACAAAAACATTTCATGTTGTTAACAAGTGCGTCTTATTGTAAACTATATATGTTTACAAAAGTTTTGCATAATAATGACTTGTATATCATGATAAATAAGGTATTTATAGAGCATCACTCGCTGGTATCATTTATTCCAAGAGGTAATGGACTTTTTAATTAACAATTTTTTAATTAACACAGTGCATGCGCCGTTAATGCGCCAAAAGTCAACAAATAAATTCGATATTTTTATTTATTTGTAAAAATTACGGCTAAATTCTAACTCTTAGAATGTTTCATATTTTGTCTTGGAAATTTATATTTTTGTTGTTGAACGCATATTTTGACGCGTTGACAAAAGCCAATACAGTCGCGTCACCAGTCGCGACGGAATCGCATATTTTAGGAAGCGTGGTAATTAACCTTTTGACAATATACATCTTCATAAAGAACAGTGTTCGTTTCCTGTTACATATTTACGTGTAAACCATAAGGAATAATAATCTGTATTTTTACTGAGTGAGAAAATGTATATTTTTAATAAAACGGGTACATAAATATATGAATTGGTTAAAATTTATTCTTAAATAAAATAGGGGAAATCGTAAATGAAAAGTAAGTTTTACAGTTAACATACGAGTATATGTACTTATGAAACTTTTAACAATAAAGTCATAAATGATAGTTAGTACCTGGTCAGTTAATATAGTCTCTTCGTTTTCTTTTACTAATAGAACTAGGGACTACTTTTAGTCCATTTTGTTCTACTAGTAGAACTAAATCGTAAAACAATTATTTTAGCCGTTAACTATCCACTGCTGAACATTAGCCTTCCCCATAAGGGGAGTTTTGCCAGTAGTTGCCACGCTTAGCAGGCGGGTTGGCAACCGCAGTTAGGCTTTTACATATGTTTAGACAGGGACACTGCTGCCCATCCTTCTACCATAAGCTTCCTTAGTCGCCTCTTACGATACCCACGGGAAAGGAAGGGGTGGTCCATTCTATGCCAGGACCTACACTGCCATACCTATATTTGCCAATAAGATGACGTGAAATGTACCTTGCATTTCATTACGAAGTAAATAAAATAAAAATAAAGTATTTTACTTATTTTTTATTCAATGAATATAAAAATAAATACTCTTGTTAATTTTATTATAATTTCCATGTGAGTGTAGAAAAATATTAGCTCTCAGATATCTATTCCATAAACATTAACATTAAATAATAATCTAGAAAGAGGTACAGATCTTTATATATGTTTTCCTACGTAGTTTATAAGAATTATTTTATTACAAGCATAGTACACTTTCGACCTAGAGTCTATCTTATATTCACGATGTATAAAATAAAATATAAAAAATATTTAACCAATAAATTAACCAAATTATATTTAAAATATGATGATAATTTAATATGATGATGATGATATATAATGTAAAATAAAAAATTCTATATCCATTTATCTTTAATCAAACGCAATTCTTAGTCAAATAGCATATGAATATATCGAGAGATATGTCATTGGAATCATTCATTTTCTCCTTTAGATTCATTTGCCACTTGTCTAGAAAACAACTACGTGCTTAGTTTAAATAAAGTATTTGTCTAAAATTATCATAATTCCATCTGGATATGTTTTATAATGTTAAAAAGTCATTTATAGATAGTATATAGTGCAAATCCACTTGCACACGAAATACTTAAAAAATTACTTATCATCTCATATTTGAATTTATGTAATCTTTCTAACCTTTATAAACTGACATCAAAAAGAAGAAGGTTCCCAATTCGGTTATATTTTTTTTTGATATTTGTTACCTCATAATTCCGTCAGCTCTCAAACGATTTGGAAAATTATTATTTTTTTATCTAAAAGGAATTACTTACAGATTAGTCTCATAATATTTTTTTAAAATCAGTTTGGTAGTTTAGTTTTTCAATTAAAATAATTGTTTTACCACAATTGATGTCGTTTTTTGTGGAATACAATCTTATTTATATTTCATTCTCGAACTCCAAATCGAATTTTAGCTGAAAAGTTAAGGTGCATTACAATAATATAAGTGGCTACGATTTATTTAAATCTGTAACTGTGGTGTTGATTTTGAAAATCCTGTACTAATTTGGAAAAACAAATTCTAACGTTTTGACAATCAATTGACAATCAGGAACTAAAATATATAATATTTTTTATTTAGATTTTTTTTTTCTCGAAAAGGTTACTTTCGATTAGATTTGTTTTTGTTTCTTTCAAAGTACTCGTATTTAAATTATCTAATACTCTTAATTCCAAGGATACAAAGAAGAGTATTTCGTAATTGTTATCTTTGTAATAATATATTTATTTAAGAACACTATCAGATCTGTCAATGATAAGCACATGTACGAAACGCGACACAGATGTCATACTTATTTCTTAAAATATTTATATATTTCACTTATATAAAGTAATTTAGTGACATTGAATTGTTTTATTTGTGAATTTTAAGGTCAAAGTGATGTTATAAACATTTAGAAGTGAAAGTAAATGGAAATATACGATGACGCTTAGAGGTTGGAAACTTATATTAAATAGAGGTAAGATTTTTTTAAATATTTCTTATTTATATAAACATTTATATATTTTGTTCAACATTGTAATGCCATTAAAGACATAATAAATAATACTAATGTATGTCATAGTGTCCAGTATTGAAATATCAATAGATTTATAAGGGAGGAAAGGGATTGTTAGTAATAGAGACTGAGAATCCCATTGCTAGCAATATACCCAACCAGGTTGACCTCCTCGCGGTTCCCCCTGGAAACTATCATAATTAATTACAGATGAATTCATCATGATTGGTTAACTGGCCTGTTTTCATCCTCATCGATCACCATTCACTGGTGCCCCGCCAGCGTATCCCGTTAGCGCAGGCGGGGTTACCATTCCATTTTCATCCAATAACAAAATAGATTTATAAGAATATGATGGTATCAAATTATACATTAACAAACAAAACCGGTCAAGTGTAAGTTGGACCCACATACCGTAAATTTAAAAAGGAGAAGTTTATAGATAAAGAAATTATCTATTTTTGTGTTCAAGAAGCGGGGCAACATAAAAAAATGTAGACGTTGCTCCACTTAAGTGAATTTTCAAAACTTTCAATATTCTAATAGTTAAAGAAGTCTGCAACGTTGCCAGATTGGGTGTGTGTTCTTTACATGAAGAGAACGAAGTATAATTTGGTGCAATAATAATTTAAAATGTAGTATTTAAATTATTTGTTTATTACGAGTATTAAACTTTGGCAACGATTCCGTAATGATATAATGTTTATTAGAACGGCATGACGTACGAAACTTTTGGCATCACAAAACAAATTACGGATATAACATTGTTAAATATTATTTATCTAATTAAATTTGGTTACTGTTTCTATTTTGTTTGCAGTTTTATTTATACCACAGCGATATGTTTTGGGTATTATGGGATTATTTGCTCTCGCAAATTCCTTTACAATGCGAGTATGCCTTAGTATGACAATAACACAAATGGTATTACATACACCGCCATCTGAACATATAATTGGTGAAACGTGCCCTGATGTATCAGTAAGCGATAATAGTGCAACTAGCAATACCACAATGGTTTATGCGGTAAGATTTAGGTATAAATTTACATAGACTACCTAATGCCCACGACTTCGAGTAGAATTACATTTTATTTCCTTTACTTGAGTTATAATTGATTTCCCGCATGAATTTCCATCTTTTATTTCATTTCTTGAAAATGTAACCTATGTATTTCTTATAATATATTATTTTTTATAAGTATTTTTACTAAGTAATTTTCCAAGACTTAATCCATCTTAATAATAAACTTTATCAAAATTGGTTAGATAGTTTAGGCGTTAAAAGATAACAGACAGACAAACAAGTATTGTCGTATTTATAGTAGTAGTCTTAATATAATTAATAATCAAAATTCTCTATAAAATTATGAGTAAAACTTACATTATTTCTATATTAATTTTGTGTTTAACTTTCATGAAACAACATACGAATGCTTATTAATATTATATATATGAAAGAAAGTTTATTTATTTGTTTGTTTGTTGCGCAATAGTGGCTTAATAAATCATCATAATATTTGGCACACACATAAAAGGTTATAAGCTACTATGTATCTTGGTCATACTGAAGAAGTTGCACGCATTTTACTCTTTGATATCAAAGCGAGCGTGTGAATAAAATGTCTGTAAATGTTTAATTATTAATTTATAAATATTCCCTTTAGACAAGTAGCAAAGAAATTTGTCGTATCTATACCCTGTCAATTTTGGGTGAATGCGTTAATGAGATGCCCCATAAATTATTCTCACATCGATAATAATTCATGGGTTAACAAAAATCTTTCTGAGTTTCTCGTTACCATTATACATTGCCATGTGGTCCCGGTATAGAATGGGCCATCCATTCCTTTCCAGTGAGTGTAAGAGGCGACTAAGGGGACTTAATGGTCGAGGGATGGGCAGCAGCGTTCCTCATAAATCACTAAAAGTCAAACTGCGGTTGCCAACTTGCTTGCAAGCATGACAATTACTGGAATAATCCCCTTTGTGGGTGAGGCAGTGGATATTTAACGGCTGATATGATTACAGATACAATTCCTCAAATGCAATAGATGATACTGCAGATAATATTTAAAAGAAGAAACATGTAGATAATAGATTAATCTATACAAATATGAAATAAATTACAGGGTCGAGAACGCTACGATTGGAGTGAAGCTACGCAAGGATTTCTACTCAGCGCTTTCTACTATGGTTACGTACTTACTCATTTGCCTGGTGGTATTCTAGCAGAGAAGTTTGGAGGCAAATGGACTGTTGGAGTAGGTTTGCTGTGTACTTCGTTGGCAACTATCCTCACACCATGCGCTGTTGGCATTGGTGGGGCAACAGGCCTATTCATCATTAGGGTTATTGAAGGTGCTGGAGAGGTAAAATAGTATTAGTTTCAATGTGCAAATCGTCCCGACTTCACAATTTTTATTTAATAAAATACAACCCATGTTACTCATTGATAATGCAGCTTTCTAAAGATTATATAAGCGGTTAAGTATTTTTAGAAGTTCATACAGACAAAAATATTTTGTTTTTATAATATAATTTTATATTAATATGTTGTTTATCGTTTATATTTATCTATCTCTTACTGCGGTGGAAATATTAGAAAATTCTTTTTTAGTGGATAATTGTGTCATAAAAGAATCTATATTTATTTAGATACTTTTAAATTAGTCTATATTGATAAATTACACAGTCAATATATTTTTTGTATGTAGATTGTTATTAAATTATTTTAATGAATACAATTAATTATAACAAAACAATAATATTATAGAAATCGTGAATACATTTATCAGAGATATATATTATTGAGAAAGACATAAAAAAGAATAATTAATAATAAGACTGACACCAATTAGCAAAAGACATTATTACCCTTACTTATAAAAAAGAAAAAGTACTAAATATTAAAGAATTTAAAGATGTATTTTTAACTATATTGTCTCTGTATTCTCCGATAGATATTTTTTTGGGCAAATACACATAGGGCTAACGTACTTGATAGGTTTTACTCTGGTGTTAGATTCTTACTAATATTGGATCAGGATTCTCATTTTTTCTATAGAACAAAATTTTCAAATCTTTTGCATTCGCATTCTAATCGATATATACTCGTATTATCAAATATTCCAAACATCATACCGAGTATTGTATGTATGTGCATCATATTTTTGTTATTATTAATTACAATTATTATCTTGTAGGGTACAGTCACTCCTGGATTCGTTTTACTGCTAGCCCGATGGGTTCCTCCATCAGAAAGATCAAGGTTCGGTGCCATGATATTCGGCGGCGCACAAATAGGAAACATATTCGGCCCTTATATTTCAGGACATCTTCTAGCAAATGGCGGTGATTGGGCTAATGTTTTTTATGTTTTCGGCACATTAGGAATCTTATGGTTTCTGTTTTGGGTAAGAGAAATCTATTTTCATTATTTATTAGATAATTTACTATGTTTTTACACAGTGTTGGTAGTCTAAATTTACCAAATTGAATCTCAGTGTTCAAGAAACTGAACAACTTTCTTTATTTCGCATGAATTACCTTTAACCATTTTTAGATAATAATCACTCAAACATGTTTGTACACTTTCAAATTTATAATACAAGATGTAACCAGCAGTCGTATTATTAATAGGAAATAGATTTAGTAAAATTTCAATTGTAAGATAAAGTTATTCAGTCTTCATGAATTTAACATTTGGTTTCTCTTTTGTATACCCATCAAGACAAATGTTGTTGTGTAAATATATGAATATTTGTGCAAATACATTTCAGATTATTTTATGCTACAATACTCCAAATACTCATCCTTTCATATCTGATGATGAAAGGGAGTATTTGAATGCAAACGTTACTGCTTCTGGGCTTCATAAGAAGTTGAATCCTGTACCTTTCAAGGCTATTTTAAGGTCTGCACCTTTATGGGTACTTATATTGGCTGCTGTAAGTATTGAATTAAAATTGTTCTACTGCAAAAGTCTCTTCCTTTACATTTGAATACGTACTCAAATAATTTTACTATCAGTACAACATTCTATCATCAATCACTTTCGGAGAATTGCATTGTCAGTAAAGGGGGCTACTGGTGCCATTGGTTAACTCTTAACACAGTTCCTTGTAAAAAGTATCATGATTTTTTATGAATTCTGGGGAAAACGTCACGATGCCATCTGACTTGACTTCGTCCTCATCTATGATCTCTTACTGGTACTCTAGAAATTTAAACCACAAAACGCAAGGGTTACTATTCCATTTTCATTTATTAAAGACCACGATCTCTTTTGTCATATCAATTGATCAGTAGGTCACCTTACTCTCTATATATAATTAATGTTAATATTACATTGAATTGAATACTCGAATTTGCTTGTTGCTCGAGTCAATTTAAGCAATGACCTTCTTTAAATTTGAACAAATCTTGAAAATCTAGTATGCACTTCTAGACTTTTATTGTTTGATCTTTAATAACACATGTTTAAGGATCAGGTGTAATTATATGACTCTTATTATTATTATACTGCCTTTTTTATTTTACTAATATTCTCAATATATATTTCAGGTTGGCCACGACTGGGGGTATTTTACAATGATAACAGACTTACCTAAATACTTTTCAGATGTGCTCAAATTTAATATAAAAGAGACAGGTCTGATGTCAGCTCTTCCATACATAGCTATGTATGTGTGTTCATTTATATTTGCAAGTATATGCGATCTATGTATCAGAAAAAAATGGCACAGTATTGGTAATGGTAGAAAGATTTATACTACATTATGTAAGTATTATTTCTAAATAAGTTAGTTTTGCATTTTTGGAATTATTCACATTTATCTATCAAAATTTTATCCTATCTGAATGAGAAGTTATAAAATCTTGAGGGTACGAGTTAGTTAAAAAGAAATGAAGATAGTAAATAATATAAATTGTAGATTTATAAAGATAGATAATGTTTGGGTTAATCTGGATACCGAATGAATGAAATAGAGATTGATAAGTTTTTACATGATTATTCTTCTTTTATCATACTACTGAAACTATTTGAAACATGAGATATTTTAGGAGACTAAAATTTTGGAGGTTGTTAATACAGTACTTTTATGGAAGTAGATTATGTGATATCTTTTTCAATTCTGAACAATTATTACACTATTAATAATTAGTATTTTTCGTTAATCACAGTGACAAAATCACTAAAGTTAGTGACATGAGTTTGAATGTCGAGTTTTTTCCCGAAATGTAATAAAAACTTCCTTCAGAATAGTTGTCTATGAGTATTACTACAGCTGATTATTTTAATTGTTAAATTTGCTTATTGAAATTCGTAGTAATCACTAAATAATGATTTGAAAATAGATCAATTAATAATACATGATGTTTTTGCTAAATATAAGGAAAATTGTTACTTTTTTAAAATTCCTTATAGTAATTATTGTCAATACTGCACACGCAAAAGGCTTTGCAGGAAAAAATGTTTCAAAGAACAATACAGGCGACTGAATACTTTTCCTTTAACTCCATCATAGCTAAGGACGTTTTTTTGCAGCGTCTTCCGTGCCGGCCGTTTTTATTATTCTGGCCTCGTACTCAGGTTGTAATCGATTGGAGGCAGTCATTTTGTTCATCGCTTCCATGGCTTTTATGGGAGGATTCTACAGTAGTGTCAAAATCAATGCTATGGATATCGCTCCAAACTATGCAGGCACGTGTTCCGCCTTTGTGAATGGCATAGCAGCTATCTCTGGGATAATAACACCTTATCTTGTTGGCTTGTTGACGCCCGACGTAAGTAAACACATAAAAGATATTTTACTTATATTATTTTCTGACAATCCTTCCTAATCTTAATGTGTATGATAGTGGGTTAGAACTTTTTGTTTATTTCTTTGTAATTTTGCAACGCGTAAAACGTTTAACAAAAAGTACTCGTAATATATTTTTTGTGACTTAAAGAGGTGACGGACGGACGGAAGGACTTTGGCCTTAGAACTTTAGTGTTAATGGATGAGCAAACTACTTTCAAAGTACTAATCTCATTAAATAAGTCAGCCGAAAAATGTGTAGGCACGGAAATGAATTTCTATAGTCACGAATTGATACAAAAAAAATTAGTATCTATTAACAAAATCGTATTGGAAAAGATGCAGCAGGAGATATTGTAATAGTAATACAAACTAAACACAAAATTGCAGATTAAAACCAATATCGAAGATAGAGATACTTAATATGTTTGTATTTTTATGTATTTTTTATATTGCGGCAACTTACACAATTGTTTGTCATGACTGATTTTATCAAAGCGTAGCCGAAACTATTAAGTTCAGAATGCTGAAATGCGGAACACAGGTTTTTATTATCGCTAAAGATGTATTTTTGAAAATTTGCATTTATAATAATAATAATAATATTTATTTAATTAGAATTTAAAGGAGAGACACGATACTACGTATGCAAAGCCTTGGGCAACAGGTACTTTGCATAAATCTTAGTTAAATCTTTTTTAATATAAATTTCTTCTATGTCGGATTTGTAATGAATTTTAATCGGTTTGAATGTTGACATAATTAGTTTGAGATCAACACTGGACTATAAAGACGAGGGTATCAAATAATATACGTATATACTAAAATATCGTGGAATGATAAACCTTATTCTTTTGAAAGTCGGATGAGAAATAAAAACTTTTACTTTTTTAAGTATTCTTTTTATTACAATTTATTTTCTCTACTTTCGTAGGTATTCTTTCCTATAGCAGACTAATTAGACGCTAGGTTTTATAATAATAGTTATATTATTTAAGTAAAAAAATTTATCACTGGCACAATTATAAGTAGTAATTATTAGTTTGGATTATTTTAATGGCTTGAAACGTTGTACTTGTAAGATAAGAATGAGTTTTATAATTTTATGTGTGTTTATCTTGTGTCACGAGAAACTGTACTTACTTATATTGATAATATAAATATGATTTATTTTTTTATTTAAAAAAATACATTAAATAAATTAAATATATTTAACCCTATGACGTCTGTAGGTGAATGTAATCAATTAAATACACAAATACACAAATATTTCAAGATTTATGCCTAGGAAGGGGAGAATATTGTTAGAAATTAGCTCTGTTACAAACAATATGGAACTATCTTAATTAGTTTTTGGCGAATTCATCACGATGATTTGTTAATTGACTTAATCATCCATTATCAAATAAAAAACTATATAAATATAAAAATTCAACCAAATTATGCACTTATTTCTAACTGGTTAACATCTGTTGTAGAACATGACTAAAAAATATATCGTCTAGACACAATGTTCATATTTTCGGTAAATACTGAATTGCATTTATGTTTTATCCTACGATATGGCTTATCTATTATTTAATTAATAATATAATACTAATTTAATGTATCTATAAAAATGTAATGTTGATACCTGTATCATGAGAGGCTCATAAAACTTTACTACCAATCGAATGTTTGTAAGTGATTGCCAGTACAAGAATACAGATTTTTAATTAGACAGTTTCCTAATTTTGACCCTACATACGAGTAATATAATATATCAAGCGCCTACCAGAAAACATGATGCAAAAATATTAAAAGACTATTATACTACCGTGTTAATATAATAGGCGTTTAAACGTAAAAGGCGTTTGTAGAACTATTTTTTAACAACCTTTCTTCTGTTTTTTTTTATTAACATTACAGTGCTAACGATCTTTTATTGAATTTTTTCATTGTACAATTACGTACATTTCTTTTTTTTATGTTTAAAAGAACAATTCAGGCTTTTTATATTGTCTGAAAATACATGTATTAGGGGAGACCGAGGAGAGTTGAACCATTTTTTATATTGAGACCCATAACTTTTTAATTAAGCGATAGAAATTAACTTGTATTATACTAAATTAAACCTTGTTTAACTAACTAATAAATGTTTAGGACAAAAACTGCTACTATTTCTTTTTTACCCATAAAAAGTTGACTTAAAGACAACTAGTGAGTTTGTATCAACTCCCCTCTTACTGAGATAAATTGAAACACTGGTCTAGGAGAGTTGAAACAATTATTATCTGGAAGCAATCCATTATTAAGAGACACAGATTTGTAAGTAAATGTTATATTAAAGTTACAATTATTCTTAATTTGTACTATCAGTCTCATAGTTACAATATTGAGATCTTAGAAACAAAAAAATAGCAAATAATTATACACTGAAATTTATAGAAAAAAAAAAAAATAAAATAAAATAATCTTAGTCAAACAAATAGTTATGGCACACATAAGATATTTTGCTTTCAGTGCATTCCAGGTGTGCCCATGCCTTACACTCCATACACTGGATCCATTGTTCATTTAGCTTATTTCTACAATCCCTGAAATATTATATATTGTATTAACTTTTTCTGGGTGTGAGCGCATCCAGTTATCACATGTCCTGTTGACAGCTTTTTTCATAGGGCCAAAGATAGCTCGATCCATGGGCTGAAGTTTGTGAGTACAATATGGTGGAAATGTTAACAAAACAATTCCATTTTCCTTACAGAAATTAATGTTCTTTACAGCAGTATGTGAGGCATGGTTGTCCAGCAATAACGGAACTACAATATCTTTAGAATGACCGGACTTAATTTTTAAAATGTTCAAGAAATAAATAAAAATCATCTTCTTGGATCCATCCAGATCCGTTGGCTACTCCAATAGATCCAGATGGCCCATCACGAATACAATGATCATTAAAACGCTTGCGTGGGATTATAAACATTGGTGGAATGCAATTTCCTATTGCATTACAAGCTAATGCGATGGTGACCAAAGTGCCTCTTTTTGTCGAGGTCATGGCACTGACCTGTTTTTAACCTCGTTTGGAAATGACTCGATCTGATTTTTGGACAGTTGTTATTCCAGATTCTTCACCATTCCAGATGTCCTTTGCGTCCAAGTGGTGTTTATCAAGCACAGATGTATAGTTTTTAAAAAACAATTCTACGTTAGTTTTGTTAAAGCTGGTCGCATGACCAAAACAAAATACCAATGCATAACAAAATGCAAACGAGGTGAGTTGAAACAGGCTGTTTCAACTCTCCCAGGGTACAGAAGTCGGCTGCCATTAGGTTTGAGCTGATATAACTTTGTTACACTACACAGTCATGCAAAATCTTTATTGCAGTTTAAATCTTAGATTCATAAGCTGGCAAATAACATAATACACTTAGGCTAAAACAGTTAATTAATAAAAATTTTGATAAAGATATTATTATGATGAAAACTTACTTTTATGTATTTTTTTCACCTGATATTTAATAGCGGTGTAAACGTCGATCATGGTGCATGAACGAATACTGAGCACCCGAGCGGGTGGCAGGAGGATAAAATTAGCAAAGTTACCAACTTGCTAGTGCTTTTAGATTTCCAGAAATTTGTATTGTTTCAACTTACCTTTGGTTCAGTTTTCCTCGGTCTCCCCTACTGGAATAGAACAACAGAGTAATTATTGATTAATCCATAATTATGATTGGACTTGTGACGATGTGTTAAGCACTTTACTATGGGTACATAAGATCCTATATTCGATTCTTAAGTACTTCAATTTAAGAATCGATATTTTCAAAATTTCTATAATTGATATGAGTTGTGCCATCCTTTAGCTTGAAAATGTACGAAATATTCTATATTGTATTTATTAATATATTTCAAATGTTTTTCAGCAAACTATCGAGCAATGGCGCATTGCATTTTGGACGGTATTCGCTGTATTAGTTGTGACTAATATCGTATATCTTATTTGGGGTTCCGGTGAACAGCAATGGTGGGATGATGTGGATAAGCACGGATATCCGCCAAACTGGAAGCATGGGCCTTTTACAAAACGAGTTCTAGATACAGAAAAAAAAGTTGTCTATCCAAAGCACGATCACTCGCCTGTTACAAATGATTGAGAATAAAAAATATATACAAAAAAAAAAAAAACATTTACTTTGTTATATAGTTTTTGTTATTATTACCCACTAATATGGCTTTTTGCACAATATCCGTTTTTATTGTAGGGATTATCCTTTCCAAGTGGAGGCCTACGTCTAATCTTATACGAGTTGGGAATTATAACGTACTTTATTTCGAGTGGTATATATAATCATAGATTAAGAATTGTTGTTTGTTGCTTGTGGTCACTACTATTGTATATATAATGTTAGGTACATTATACATATTGTAATATTTACAAGAAATTAGAATAAATTAAAACACACTATCTTTATAATTCGAGTTGAAAATCAAACCCCATTTCAATGTAAGCTTTGTTTAGTTTCAGAATATAAAATGTAGAGGTATTTTATTTTATTAATGCATATGATGGTGAAGTAACGTATGTGTCGAATGTGTTTGTAAATAATATACATGGATAATAATGTATGTTTATCGTATTATACTGTCTACTAATGACACGATTTGGCACACGATCGGTGGAGCTGATTATTGTTAATTAGCATGTCAATAGGGATTAGTTAGGACATCAGTCTAACTAATAAGCGGAGATATCAGATTAACTGATCAGTTTTATAAACCGTATCGTTTATAAACAGCTTTAGGTATTCAAAAGCAGTTTACCAGTTGATCCATTGATAATTTTTAAATTCGGAATCTAATTCTATATGGCATGAAATTTTTTTATTTAAATTTTTATGCCTTAATGGTAGGTAAATTTGATCTGTATCTAGTAATAGCAGTTTTATGAATACTATTAAAAAATGGTATGTTGATATATTTTTTAGACTTATTCTGAATTTACATAAAATATCATGTTTAAATAAATAAAAATTTTATTTAATTTCTTAATTTAAGGTAAATGACACGCCGATATATTATAAAATTTTTACTATGTAAGTAATTTTACTTTTTATAAATAATGATGTTGCATAATTTAGATTAAACTAAAAACCAAATTATGTTCATGCATTTCCCAAAAAGAGAAGCGTTTGGTTGCGAATATATATTACGATTTTTTTTTATAATTGGCATAATAATAATTATAAAAATAAATAGCAAAATCTAGAACACCGTTGCAAACTGCACAACTCGCTGTTATCTACAGGATACATTTAGGAGAGTGGGCTTAAGAACTACATGACCTGATTCTTCTTTCACCTTTTCGACATCAGACGACCAGATGAGGCGATAATCTCCACCTTTGCGTCGTAGATATACCATTTATACGTATAAAGCACTTCGCGTTTTCCTTTATCATGCGTACGGCCAAGGAGTGGATTTCTCTCCTAGCTTATGTTTTTCCATCCAAATACAATCGGCACTAATTTAAGGCAAATATGAATAGGATATTCGTTGGCCCATTATAAATCACATCATCGCTTTCCGTCAGGTGAGAACGTGATCAATCGCGGGGCCTTTTAATAGTAAGAAATAATATTATAAATATATACAAAATACATATATATTATGGTGATAATATATGTACATACACATAAATATAATATATTAATGATATTATAGGTATTCTATATACCTATTTAATTATAAAGTAATACGTAGTTAGTAATAGGTTTTGAGTTAGTATACCCATTATGATTAACGATGCCTAGTATCATAGTCTGTGACGATGCATACATAGCAGTTTGTACGCAATTCTAAACATTATTATTCAGATTCTGAGTTATCTACACATAGTAAATAGATATCTGTCCGTAATATATGCATCTGATTGAATATACCATTCATACTACCGAGTCTAATTTACTTCAAACCGCTCTGCGTAGTTCTATTGATATTGAAAATAATCCGCACTTTGTGTGAAATTCATATTTCATAGTAAGTACACTTATACATGTAAGTAAGAACACTTATATTAGATTTTGAGTGTAAGTAAAAAAATTGTCGAAATGTTTCTTCGAATCAGAAGCATAATTCATAACAAGGGTTCTCACTTGCAAAGATGGATTTAGCGTTATTTCAAAATGTATAATTAGCAATATTTTTTTTCTTATTCAATTTTTTTTATATCACGAACGTAGCAAAGAAGTATACAGCTCGTTTGATGGTAAACAGTTTCTGTAGTCTATGGACGCCTGCAACACTAGGGGTGTCACGCGAGTGTCGTCGACCCTGACGAATTTTTAATATGCCCCTTTTTAAAAACCCTATACTGTAGTCTCAAGGAAAAACCAAAACTTTTTAATTTAAATTAATATAATGAAGCGAAAAACTTTGTTTATCGTGCTAATCTCTAGAACTACCAGTCGGATTTGAAAAATTCTTTTTGCATTGAGCGCTCCTTTCTTGAGGAAGGTTTTTTTTGATGGGTGAAAATGGTATGGTAACTCCGCCTGCGCTAACGGGATTCGCTGGCGGAGCACTACTGAAGGGTGATAGATGAGAATGAAAACAGGCTAGTTAGCCCATCATGATGAATTCATCAGGAATTAACCATGATAGTTTCCAGGGAGAACCACAAGGAGGTCGACCTGGTTGGGTATATTGCTAGCAATAGGATTCTCAGTCTCCATTATTAACAATCCCTTGCCCCCCTCTTGAGGAAGGTTATTCATCTCGATATGACCACGAGCAATGTTGCAAGATACAGTTAGTTTAAAATATAGTAACAAAAACAATAGTTAAAATAGGCTTACGAAAGACGATTTAGTTCATGTATGAGGTAGATTTTCATTGGATAAATTTTCTTTTTATGCATTTATATAGTTTTATTTTTCCAAGGTTTTAAATCTGACAAGAGTTAATGTTCGGTCTACACTTATCCTGTCTTAATAAATCGCCTAAAATGCATGTTACAATGCACACGTGTCGTGTAAGTAAACAACTTACGCAATGCAAAATTTTGTCGTCGGACAATATGTTTATCGTCTGCGTGAGTCTTATGATTATTGTAATTTGGTACATTTTTTACTTCAAAAAGGACGTATTAAGGTTTCTTAAGAGTTAGCAAGTAAAATCCTTAATGTTATAGGTGTCTATAGACTACAGTAATACCGTTTACTGCTGTTTTAAACGGCCCTGTACTTGTTTGCCACTATAAAGAAAAAAAACTAAGGATGGCAAACAATGCGATAGCACACCTGATGAAAAGTAGTTAATCGTAATAAATTAGAAATGGAATAAAATAATAGATATACAATACAAGATACACAATAAAATAATAAAAAAATACGATGTGAGTAGGACATTACTTCACATTCGAGTACTGGATTATACTAGATGATAACGAAATACATATTTTACGATTCATTCTTTTGTTATGGAACCGGATTGAACTGCTTTAGGCTAGATTCATACTTTAATTCCGATCTCGATTCGTTCTCAATCTCCCCTCGGTCAGGTAAAGTAGAAACATTTTGAGATTGATCGAGACTGGAATGGAACTGGACTGGACTGTAGTATAGTAATGAGTACACATTGTTTTTTTAATAACATTGTACCAGACCGAGATCGGACCAAGAACTGAAACCAGCACTATACGAATAGTGCAAAAATCTCTTGTTAGCATTTATGTATAAAGGAACGTTTGCGATTCTTTTTATGAATTGCCTAACTCATTATGTCAGTCGCCAATGGAGCGTGTTGCACTCGAATTGACCCTGACCGAGCTTATAAGAATTTCGAGACGTTCCGACTCGTTTAGATTAAAAATATTATTTAATGACATAGAAAATATTACATTTAAAATAATTATTATTTTTTAAATTTCACAAAAATACATAATAATAATTTATTATTATTATATTGGAAGAATTTCAGCCTTTTTTCTTAGCGAATGCGATGGTATAATGATAAACAATGTGCATATCTTTATCTTTTTGCCTTGTAGTCCCGGCATAGAATGAACCACCCCATCGTTTCGGGGGAGAAAGGGATTGTTAGTAATGGAGACTGAGGATCCCATTGCTAGCAATATACCCAACCAGGTCGACCTTCTCGCGGTTCTCCCTGGAAACTATCATGGTTAATTCCTGAAAAATTAATCATGATAGGCTAACTGGCCTGTTTTCATTCTCATCTATCACCCTTCACTGGTGCTCCGCCAGCGTATCCTGTTAGCGCAGGCGGGGTTAGCATACCATTTTCACCCATCAAAAAAAAAACCCCATCGTTTCACGTGGGTGTTGTAAGAGGCGAATAAGGGATTTTAATGATTGAGGGATGGACTGCAGCGTTTCTGTTAAAACATCACCAAAAGCCTAACTGCGGTTGCTAACCCGTCTGCTACGCGTAGCAACTACTGGCAAAATCCCCCTTAGAGCGTAGGCCTATGTTATCCAGTGGTTAGTTAACGCTGTTGCTAATAGCTGATATGAATGATGATTGACTGTATCTTTGTGATCTTTATAGTTTTAGATATGTCAAAATGAATGAGTGTTTATTTGCTTTTTATATACTATTATTACTTTACTTATTTATCTATTTCTTTATTCTTTCATGCATCAATTAAATAATAATAATGTAAAAAAACTATAATGCTGCAACATAGACAGAAGGCATATCATTTCCTTATTATTTTATCTTATTCCTTACGCAATATTTTTTAGACAATAGTTATATTGCTAATGAGAATTGGAATATATTGTATCTATAATAGTCAAATAAATAAAGTTAATTTTATTATGATAAAATAGTTTCCATAGAATTTAATGAAAATGTAAACAAATTAATAGCTGCCCTAACCATGTCAACAATATATAATATTCCATTAGTCTATTAATTAATTGAACGATTTTATTTCTTTATTTAGAAATTCAGAAGTAGTTCTGAGATAATTTCATTGAGATTTTAACATCTTAATGAGTTCATATACTTAACATTTATGTATAATTAATCAAAAGTATCAAGTAAGAACTATTACTAAAATTGCTACAATAATAGCGTTTTATTATTAAAAAAAATGCAAAAAAGCAATTGTAAAGCGAGTTGACTACTTTGATCGCGTGACCGTGATAAAAGTAACCTGTCTATGTCCTTCTCTGTCCAAGATACTATGTGTATATCAAAATTCGTAACGATTTGTTAAACAATGAGCCCGTTAAGTAACAAACAAACCTATTTTCACATTCCTAATAATATATAATAGTAAAAATGAAATACTATTCATCCTATACTATTTATCTTCTATTATAACTATTTGTAATCATCCTTAGCGGGACGATGTCAGATTGTGCGCGCGCAGTTCATGCATCGATAGTCGACCGTTCGCGGCTCGACAGTCACCCGCGTGCGAGTCGAATTACTTGTATTTTTTAGTTTAGTGATAAAGAAGTTTATAAAAAAATATAAAAAATAGTGACAGGCAAAAACAATTAGGACGTCACCGTCACCTAATAGTGAGTAATTTTTTTAATTTAATTTAATACGCGTATTTAATTATCCTGTATAAAATTTTAATGCTAAAAGTGAATGTATCTTTAACATATTAAATTCGCATGTCCTTTACATTCTTCGAACGTTTTTATTATTATAAAATTCGTAATTGTTTTCGAGGTTAACAGTTTCTCTATTAAATTACTTTCGTCGTATCTAGATACAATAAAATAATAAAAACAAATTGGCAAAAATTTTATATAAAACGTTATTCCTGATTTATTTTGTACAACGTAAATAATATAATAGTACTGTATTTGTATTTTTTTATATTTTTATTATGATATCACAGTAACCTTGATTAGTAGAGAGGCAATCCTTACATGACATTTTTATCTGTCTCGTATTATATGAATTAATTTTGTAATTTACTAGTTTTAATTTATACGAGATTTGGAATTAAATTCTACAAATTTGCTGAACTCTAATAAAGTGATTTTCAAATGCAGGAAACTGAGCAATATTTACTTTAGTTTTATAATAAGGTGGCTAATGGTTCTTATAAATAATGTGGTTCAAGTTCGGATCAATCTATGTATCTCTCATATGTGATGCAGCTAGAATTTCTAGAATCGAAAATCAAGTCCATAGGAAATATTTAATAGAAGCAGTAACATAGGTAGCAATAAATAGGATTTGAAGCCAGCCAGCTGTCCTCAAAGATTCCGATATGGATCTATAGTGAGTCCAAGTATATATTTTTTTCATTTTAATATCAAATTTCTATAATATAGTGATATAAAAGAAAAATTTTAGATCTTATACCAACCACACAATAAACTGTAGACATAACATAATAGAATTGCAAATTGAAACTATTGTATTGAGTGTATATGAATTAGTAAATGTTGCCATATCTGTTGATATTTTGATAAGTAAGGTAAATAAATGGTCATAAAGTTAAACAGTCGCTTCAAAATATTTAAGTTAATTAAGTCAATATTCTATTTTCAAGAACAAAGATTTATTAATGACAAGATGAAATTAAAATAAATGCAATCATAATGTTTTAAACAAGTTAATACAAATTTTTATCCATGTTATTGTTTATATATATCATAGATGAAAATGTCATACCATGTCACAAATCCTTTCATTACACATTAACCCCGAATTAAAAAAAAATAGTTTCTGATATAGTTATAAAATTTAGTAACGATCTCCGTTTACATACATAAATAACATGACACTATTGTAGGATATATATTGTTATTGAGCAAAGATAAAGGAGAATACGCTATGGTTACCCCATATAATGGGAAATAGGAAATTGCATGGTTATAATGACATAGAGGCTATAATTATAGGCTTCAGAAATCAATAGGAATCATAGTTACATTGTGTTGGCATGGTGAAACTGATATATATTTTATTATAAAAATAAACACAATTATTTCTTTGCATGAAGTATAAAGTCAATTCAAAGTCAATTTATTGTAGTAATTATTTAATTTAATTTAATGTAGCAAAGTAACTTAATCGTAAATTCAAAGCAAATAAGATGTCATTATTAATGGAATCAAGATTTTTTAATGGTCCATTGATGGAGAGTGATAATTGACTTCTTTTTTAGACATGACATTAAATAGGTTTTTTTATATATTGATTTAGGTGGGCAAAGCTGCGGGAAATAGTTAATATTTCATACATAACACGTGTCGACATTGACGTTTTTATATTGTTCAGCAGTAAATCATTGATATTATTTCTTTAATAATTGAATTCTCAAATACGAAATTGATTGCGACATTTCGATTACAGTATTTACGAATCATGAAATTAATAGTGATTCATTAACTTTTATCAAAGTTAGACGTAAGATGCTTAACGCACAAAATGTTAATTGTTACCTATTTGCGAACATATTTTTTTCAAATTGAATAAGTTATTTAAAACATATTATCACAGTTCATGTAATTGTGTTAAAGGGCACGGGGATGTGGGGGAGGGGGAGGAGTGGGGAAGGATATTAGAGAATTTTGTATTAATCCCCATTGCTTACAATATATTCTGCCAAGACCATTGGTAAATGGTAATTGGTAAATGGTAAATTCTTAGTGAATTGTCTCGATGGGCCAACTAGTTTGATTCCGTTTGCCACTGGTGCTTTGGCATTATTTAGTCTCACTTGTGATCGATCAGAATGTAGCATACTTTGTCTTATTTTTTGAATAGTGTTTATAATTTTATTTGAATCCGAGTATGTGATATGTTGATGATAAATAAAAACATGAATGGATGAAGGTGATATGTCGCATAGTAATAACAATAATTTATAGGTATTATGAGTTAAAGATATACAGACTCACAAAAAAAGAATCAGAGGGTTTTACATTACGTAATCAAAGGTTTTCTTTTTTTTAAAAAAAATATATCAGTTGCCCATTTTCCCTCACCATCTCTTTACAATTACTCCCATGGGGACTGAAATTTCATTTTACACGCTAAGCGGAGAAGGATGTGTATTTCTATATTACTTGGGTCGCTGTAACCGAAAATGACGACAAAAACTGAATCGAACCCCTTTCTTATCCGGTAGTATTCCTTTACCTTCTCTCTTCAGGGGATTCCAGGGAGTGTTAATGAACGAAAAAAATTTAACCCTCTAATATTAACACGGTGCGTCCCCCTTCTAAGTTTCTATGAGAGGCTTAAAAATGTGTTTGTCGTTTTTGAATGTTTTATGTACAAAACTTTTGTTTTTATAATATTTTTATACCCTGTGTAGATTCTTAGGTTTACGAATGGTTAATATTATTTTAATTTCTTTATGTAACTTATGTACGACTAATGTAATATAATTGTGTTTACTACTCGTATATTTATATCAATAAATCAATCAGACTACAGTATGAGGTTCTTCAAAAGGGGGGTAAAGAGGTTTCTTCAGGGTCGGCAACGCACGCGTAATACCTCTGGTATTGCAGGTGTTCATAGGTGACGGTAACCACTTACCATCAGGTGGGCCGTATGCTTATTTGTCACCTCAGTGGTATAAAAAATATATAGTCAGCAAAATAAGGAATAATATAGTCAATATTAACCGAGAAATAAAATTACATGATTTGTGTCTAAATGGCAACGTGCGATTAACACGCGATTTTACATTTTTATGAATAAATGCCCAATTTGAATTTAATTGATCCACTAAGTACTTATCGACTGGGTCAAGTCTTTGAATCAAGTTGATCAACATAATATTATAGACATATATCTGTAAATCCTATGATTTATTTAGAGGCAGCCTTCAAATATATTACTGTAAATAGAGACTATCTAGATAGAGATCTTAAGGAAATATCAATTTGAATAAATTAGTATGTAAGTCAATATTTTGAAATATGTGGTATAAAATTCCGGGAGACTAGTTTGTATATATTACAGTGCATTGACGAATGTATCAAATAATAGTGTTATATATACAAACATTGGTCACAACGTAATGATGCAAGCAGATGAATATTAAATGTCATTTGTTGTTGGAAGAAGACAAAAATAGTCATAACAGAAAAAATACTGTTACCTAAGTAAAGAGTGAAAATGTGAAAATTAGAGAAAAATAAGAAAAGCTTGAAAAAAATCAGTCGAAAGATAACAGAAATAAACTCTTTCGTAAATAAACTTAACATAATCTGCAAAAATTCCTTCCATAAAATAAATAAAAAAAATTAATATCACGAAAAAAGTCTTGTATTAGGTGAATTACAAAAGGTATAAAAGTATCAAGTAAAATGAAGCATTTTCTTAGATACAGTTATATAAAGATTATATGTTTAAGGATCCTAAATGATCCCGAAACTAGACTAAGAAAGACTCTGTTTTCCGCACTTAGCCTCTCATTTGGATCGTTGTGCGTTGAAACTAGACTAATATTCTGGACAAATATACTCATACGTCAATCTGGATTTTACAATAAAAAATTAACCAGACTTTGTTTTGCGTGCGACAGGCAGTATTAAATTTATAAGTACGCTGTTGATGAGATTTTATTAGTATGCAATATTCTTAATTTTTGTTAGTTATTTAATAATAATTAATTATAATTATATCAATATCGATCTGTAACTATTGTTTCTTAAACACACTATGCATGTAATGACCCGTGTCAATCATGTAGGTATACCATTGTGATATTGATAGTACAAGTAGTGGTACAAGTATTTTATAATAAGTAATACTATATTGTAACTAAAATTTATATCTAAAAAAAGAGTATCTATTCAATACTATAATGTACTGTAAAGAATTTGTTTTACAGTAGTATTATAAATCTATATAATGCTACTGTCAAACAAGAATTTTATAAAAAGAAGTCGCTTATGAAACATTAGCGTTACAGTATTGATCATCTTGTTTGTTATTCTGAAAATCTTTAAAAATTACAGGAGTCCATGTTAAGAATAATTTTAAAAAGTATTTAATGTAATACCTAAATATGTAGTTATAAATAGGTAATTATTCTGATTGAGTAACTGACTTATCAACATAAACAAAACTTTGTGGTTAGAAACTTGAATTTTTTAATTGTATTATTTTATAAAATGGGCATTAAATATGAAAGGACTTTCTAAAATTCTACAAAATAAGAGAAAGATTCGCCAGAGTGTAATAAAACAGTTTAAGATTTTTTAGTTATATATATATATATATATATATATATATATATATATATATATATATATATATATATATATATATATATATATATATATATATATATATTAAATTAAAAAAAAGCAACTGAACTGAGAACCTCCTTTTTTTGAAGTCGGTTGAAAAGGATTTAAATGGTCAACAATTTGTTTTTTTATTTAAAATTAATAAAATACTGTAACATTATATATGTTACACTTTTGACATGATATATACTAAAACGCTAGTGATAAGGTGAGAAATACTATAATTTATTCATTAAAGGAGTATGAGGAAATGGCGTAAAATATATCTGGCTGTTTGATCGCCA